ATGATGAAGGAGAAGATAACATAATTGAAACAAGTGATGATGAAAATATTTCTTTAAACTCTAATATAGATTCAATTCTAAATAATCATTTATTATCATTTAAAATTTTAGAAGCTAAATAATGAATGTCATTTTTTTATTTGTATTTTATTATATATAAGTTAATTTTATTTATTATTCATCTTTTTTATCTTTTTTAAAGTATTGTTAACGGTAAAATAAAATTTAAAAAAAATTTATTTTGGTAATGATTGTCATTTTACACAAAATGAAATAAGCCAATCACAGGGAAAGCCCGCTATGTTCTGAACTATGTTTGATGATCAACCATTGTGACCAACCCCAATAAATTATGCACAATTTTATCAGAAAAAATTTCCGACTGATAATTGGTTGGGTTTGAAAAAAAATTTTTATTTCGATTATTAAAGAGGAAAAAGTAAAAATTTATATTCACAATTCAAAAATTTGAATTGATAGTTAATTAACTCAAAACAAAATTTCTTTATAAAACAAAGCTTTTTGAATCGCTCTTGGTTTGAAAAATAGATAGCGACACTCATTATGGCTTTTATTTCTTTATTTTACTTTAGATAAAAAAGACTGTTGTTGAAATCATATCAAATAAAAAATAAAAAAAATAAATAATCAAAATGGTTAGAATCTCAGTTTTGGTATGTATATAATAAATATCCATTTTCTACACAGACATGTTGACGGTAATGGTAGTAATGATGATGAATGGGTTTTTAAAATAAAATTAATTAATTTTTTAATAATAGAATGATTGTCTTAATAACATTGTTAATGCTGAAAAACGTGGCAAACGTCAAGTATTAGTTCGTCCATCATCAAAAGTGGTCATTAAGTTCTTGCGTGTAATGCAAAAACATGGTAATTAAATCAATTATCATATATAGCGTGTTTGATGATATATATACTAATTACCATTATACCACCGCTAACATATATATATACTTACGCTTATAATTCTGCATACATATGTGTATATAAAACACACGCGCACACCTACCTATTTCTCTCTTTAATTATATATATATTAAAGAATATATTGACGAATTTGAAGTGATTGATGATCATCGTTCAGGAAAAATTGTAATTCAATTAAATGGTCGCTTAAACAAATGTGGTGTCATTTCACCACGTTTCAATACAAAAATAGATGATATTGAAAAATGGGTTAATAATTTATTACCATCTCGTCAATTTGGTTTTTTAGGCAAGTATAAATAACAATAATAAAAATGATTGAAAAGTTTTTTTGGTGCGTTTTTATGTATTTTGTTAATGATATTTATTTTTTTTTTTGATATATAGTGTTGACTACTAGTGCTGGTATTATGGATCACCATGAGGCAAGAAGAAAACACACTGGTGGTAAAATTCTTGGTAAATATACTTTTTTTTCTTTTCTT